ATATATATATATATATATATATATATATTCATTTTTATTATTATTGTGTAAGGATAAAAAAATTGCCTATTATTTACTTACAAGCTGAACCATGTTTTTTTACGGTTTATTGGATTTTATTTTTATTTTATATCGGTCATCTTCAACCCTTTTCTTCTAACGGAAAAAACTCATCTTGAAGATGTTGGGTTTAAGGTTTAGAATATAGAAAACATAAAAGTGTGGTATTTCATAAGAAGGAAAAAGCATTATCAAGATATTACACCATTAAATAAAAATTAAAGAAAAATAAATATTTCATAAACACGATTTTTAAGTAAACAAGTATTAAAATGCTGAAAAGATTCAATTACGAATAGACTTTTAGTTTCCAAAATAATTTAAACTGTAAATAATACCTCAACTATGCAACAATATACATTATTCAGAGGCAAAACAGAAAAACTGATATAGAAATAAAATAATATTGAATTGAATCAGAAAAATGTATTTATAACTGTGAAAGTCTTTATAAGTAAACTATTAGCTATTAAAAAACTGCGTCTTCAATAATAACAAAATGTGCCTGTACCGTACTGGTCTGATATGGGCCGACCCAACACACATTAACGGGACGCCGACCCAATACGCCAGTCCACTATGTCTAAGCCGAGATAGCTTCGAACCAAGAAGAGGGGATCTTCCACAGGCCGACCCAACACACATCGGTAAAATGCCGAGTACATCCATCAAGGCATGCTTGAAGCCAAATGAGCCCATTGCATATTGACACGTCTAAGAATTGCACATAGGGGACCCAGATATGGGGAGCTAGTCGACCTTACTCAAGTAATCAATAAGATCTCATGATCCGCGGGATAAGGAGAATAACAGTCTTAAACGCAGAGAATCGCGAGTTCATGAGGGGCGCGATTCTAGGGAGTCGGATTAGTAACGCCACGCCACTATATATAGCAATGATTAGGTCTGATAGGGCATGTTACTCTCATCGAATGTTTTAGGTCAAGACTGCTGTCAAGTTCTTTTAGCTCGGTATCGCTAAGGGTTCTTCGGTGGCGGTCTCCAATACCGGAACAGTGCCATTACAGAAATTACAGTAAAAATAACTTTGCTCAAGAAATGACACAACTATCAGCGCGTAAAATATCTGACATGAAGGATCGTATTCAAATCGAATTAAAAAAGAAGAAGAAGAAAGAAACGACAACAACATTGAGAATCTATATATGTGATGATGAGAATTTGTGTGAAAAAAATTAAATATATAAGAATTTAATGCTTTCATAAACTTGCGCAAGAATGTTCTTTTGTCCATTATTAGCCTTTATTGTACGCAGAATATTAATACTATATTTATTATACACTCTTTTTTAATTGTTAAAATTTATTAAAAATCATAAAATTATAAGAAAGAATTATTAAATAAGTTGTGAGATACACAAAGTACAATTTTTTAAAAAATATTTTAATAAATTCTAACTAATATCCTTACCAGTTACCACCTGCTCCAAAAAAAAAAAAAGTATTTAGGATACAACATTTAAGTTTTATGCGGAAGAAAATTAGTTTAGGTTGTGTTGTTGTTTTTGTTTTTTTATTTAGCACACAATATTTTATAGCTGATTTTGTATTATGATTTTATTTAGAAGCATTTTTAAAAGAAAAAAAAAATTAAATTTTTTTCTTCTTCTATAAATTAAAACTAACTTATGCATAAAATAATTTGTAATTTATTGAAAAAATTATATGAGAAAATTTCTACAAATTAACTTATGTATAAAATAATTTTAACTTGAACAAATTTATTTTATTTTTTCTTCTTATTTTTTTCTTTTTAAAAATGCTTCTAGAAAATTTTATCCAAGTACACCCTATACAGAAAGATGACAAAGTTGTTTCTGTTTGTAACCTCGTAGTGGTGGCACGTAAGTTTCTTTCTCAATAATAGATAGATTACAAGAGAGGAAAAGAAGGATATGATGCTATACTATTCAGCAAGTCTATCTATATCTTGACCATGCCATATAGCTTTGTATTTATAACAAGCTTTTCCCTTTCAACGTTCTTCCGACATCCCATTCTTTGACAAAGTCCCCAACAAGGTTCACCTTCTCTCAGAAAAACACAGCCTACACGGCTACACTCATAAGCTTCTCGTATAATGTTGATATAGATTTTTTTTTTTTTCCAGGGCTCAACTAAACAAGCCCTAAAATTTCTCTCTCTTTTTTCATTAACTGGTTTAATTAAAAATAAATTTTCAATACCTTCTTTATTTTATTGTTTTATAAAAAAATTTAATACCTAATTTTGCTTTTTTTTTTGCCTATTTATTCAAAATAATAATATTAAATGTTATTAAAATAATAATTAATGGCTTTTGTTAAATAAAAAATAGAAACACAAACTAAAAATGGAGGAAAATTAGAGAAAAGAAAAAAACAATTAGATCAAACACAAAAGGGGGGAAAAACTAGAAAAGGGACCCAGAAATGAAAATTCCCTTGCCACTTTGAGTTACGAATATTTTTAATTTTTTGAGCTTAATTCACTTAATTGGACTCAACTGCTTAAGGGAGTTGCTTCTTCGTTAATACCAAACTGCCCAAGGGAGTTTATACAATCAGCATCTCTGTTAAAAATAAAAAATAAAAAAAGACAAAAAGACAAACACATCCCAACATCCTCCAAAATGAAGGATCGTGTCCAAAGAGAAAAATCAAATAAAAGGAGACAATAACATTGAAATTCTATGCAATGAAAAGTTTAGTGTGAAAAACTTGGATAAAAGAATTTGATACCTTCAACCTTTGCAGAAGAATGTTTTCTCTTTTCATTATCACCAAGTTGGATAATCTGACAAACAGTTATATAACTAACTTCAGGAAGATGTCATGTACGTATGCATAAGCAGACAGCACGGTAACTTGCTCCACTATTGAATTTATAGATACACACAACTACCGAAGTAGCATCATCTCAATTTAACGTGCAAGAGCTAGTTACATAGAGAAGGTTCCTTTTTAGCTACCCAAATTTTTCTTTTCACTTGCAATCTTTATCATCTATTCCAATACACACTATCCTTGTCTGCATCAAATACTTCTGCTCTGATGACTTGCTGGTACAAAACGCCAGAGGTCCACAGCAATATCTACTTCCTTCTTTTTGTGAAATTTGTACATTTTCGGTACATCATATCGAAGCTGCCATAGTAAGAAAATAAAATTAGATTTCAATTGTAAGAGTCAGGTAAATTGCACCATGGTTACTATACAAACATCTAGCATATGAAAACTGTACAGGTATATCTGTTAAATGGAATGAAAGAATTTGGGCATGGCTCAAATCAAAGTAAAACCTGGCATATGAAAGAACCAGGTTTTGTGGTGTGGGAATGGGGAATTTGAGTTGAAACTCGTGGGCTCATCACATTTTGTTATGTTAGAAATAGCATCCATTCAGACACTTTATTTAATTAATCTGGAAAGTGGTTCAAGTATTATCATAGGTGTACAATACGGGTTTACTTGAGTTTGATTATCCCCTTCAGAAGTCAGTTGAGTAAACTAGAGCTATTAGAGTAACTTGCCATAAATAGTACTTTATCTTATCTAATGTTTGTTAAAAGGAAATAAATAGAATATGCATTTTTCGTGCAGAAATAAGCCAATTTATACAGAAAAATTTTAACTTTTATTACAAGACTCAAACATCAAATACAAATTAAACTTCACTCACCTCACATAAAACTTCAGCACTGCTAGCATTGAAATCCCTTAACGCAGTTCGTTTCACATGCTGCGATCATAAAAAAATGAAATCCGTGGTATTGTCACACATGAGGTGAGAAAATCCTATAATACTGTTGACAAGCCACACAAAATTATAGATTATAAATGAATCCATGCTTATGCATTAATGAAACATAAGAACTAAGCAATCAGTGAGAAGAAAGTCACATTGGTGGTTGTCGTATTTGTAGGAGAATTGAGCTTCTAATTCTGGGGAAAATTTCTGAGTAAGAGAATAAGTTCTAAAATGTTTTTAAAGGAATTGCTTCTCAATTTGTATTTAACTAAATATCAACATATGAACAAGGAGGATAATCCAAGGAGAAAAGCTGATAAACCGTTCATTTAAAGAAATAAAGCCTAGGAAGCAAAAGTACAACATCAACTCATGCTATACCGCATCTCACTATGATTAAAAGAATGGTTATTTCCCAAAATTAATTTATTGCTAAAATTTCGAATTAAGCCAGCAATCTGAACCTTCTACTTGTTTCAGTCCATCGCATTGATAAATGTTATGCTTAAACTGGAAGTGCAAGCCATATACAAAAGAATATCTGGGAGGAAGTATAGAATAAGCTTCACACAATGATGCCACATTCATTAAAATCTAAATGGAAAGGTTCATGAAAATAACACCAATGGCGTCCTTGTGGAATGGGGAGGTTATTACCTAATGGCCTGATATACTGTTTGAGAAAAAAAAAACTAAATATGATGCAGGAGTTAACAAGTCAAAAACAATTTGATCAGGCCTGCAGAACTCAATTACTCAATGTCATAATTAGAATTTAAGATAAAAAAAAATGGCTTACATCTCTTGTTGAAGTCTTATGCAAGGAATAAACAGCTTGAGAAGCAACCTGACAAAGCAATTTATGGTATATTAGAATTCCCATCAATCATATATTTACAACCAGCATTGATGCAATTGCTTACCTTTAAAGCAACAGAGAGAAAATCCAAATCTGCACCCTTTTTCCGAGTACCAAATGGAGGATTCATTATAACTGTATCAACAATTGGACCTAGACACAATACCAAGATAACCATATGAATTTTTTATGGAAATATTTTTCGGCATCATATAAAATTAAGAGTTAGAATTGATTTTCAGTCAGCATACCCTTTAAATTGAAGACTAGTTCACATGATCATTTTGTTTAACAACTACTGGAACAAGTTAATGATGCATGGAATACTTGTAATTTGTAAATATTATTATTACAAACAACAATGCCCATAAGTCATACAAAAGACAGATAAAGAATATTCCTGTTAGTATAGGAATTAAGGACTCAATTCAGAAAATAAAAATAAAGACAGAATTAATTTCTAAGCTTGAGCGTCCTGAAATCAACTGGCATAATACAAAGTGGAATTGAAGTGCTTATAAATTTGGTTAGATCCTGTTCTCTAATATTTTCAAAGATAAAAGTTATGCTTCATGTGCAAAAGAAAAGTTTATGCTTCAAGACACAAACTTAAATAATGTTATGGTATCATAAGACGAAGATGATGTGGAAAGTTACCTCTCCATCCCAAGTCCAAGACATTAGAATGAATAAAATCCATGTCCAGCTGCAGTTTTAAAAGAATAACAAAGGAATGTTGTGCATCAGTTATTAGTAGCTAACTTTAACATAACTATTGCATTAGATAAAAAAAAATCTATTTATTGCATCTAGAGCATAATAATGACCACTTTTCATCTCCTCTTATTCCACTAGAACAACAATACATTGACCAGAATATTTTTCATGCAACATATTTCACTTTTATGTACAATATTCAAAACATATAAAAATTATTATTCTTTTCCTCAAACAAGGGACTCAGCAATTACAAAAACAAAAACTATTAACCTATAAACTCATTTACTGAAATAATCAGCAGAAAGACAATACCTCAAGTTCCTCAGCATTAAGTGATGCTATTTCAAGAGATTCTGGATCAATGTCAACGCAGAGAACATGTCTGATAAATGCTAACAAAAATCAAGTGAACATTAGATACACTAGTACGAAAACACATATTTGATTGAAAGGGGAAAAAACATTTGGTCCACTATTTTACTAAACACGAATTTGAGATTTGGAACTTAATATTTGATTCCAAAAACCAGGAAATTCTAAGTGACTGTGTACGTGAAATGGTGTACGGTTCAGAAATTGGAAAATAAAAATCCTTTCAAGACAGTTCCTGCAGGTTCCACATAAGAGTACTTTCAAAATTTTATAACAGCTATAATGTGATTCTAATGTCAACTCATGTTTAGGCAACATTAAAAAAGTAAGTGAATGAGAGAATGATAAAGGTAAACAAGATCCCACAAAAAGTAGGAAGGGAAAGATGCAACTCACTCTGCACTCAACAGTGCAGCTGCAACACCCAAGGTACCACAACCGCATCCAAAGTCAGCCACTACTTTGCTACTCACATCCTCAAAAGAATTCTCTGCCTGATTCCCATGAACAGCAAAGGAAACAAAACTTTAACAAAGAGGAAATTACCACCATGACCATTTCAAGACTAACAAAGCAAAAATCATTCCCTTTTGCAAATCCACACACACTTGCACAAAATTGGATTGATTTACTAAAATACCCTCCCCATCTTTCCCTCATCCCCAC